TATAAAATCCTCTCTTTATTCACTAGAGCCCCGATTCGTAGGCCAAGCTGAAATTTTATCCAAAATTATTCGGCCTAGTTCGTTTTAGAAAAGGACTACCGGGCAAATTCGGTCTCCGCCACCCGACTGGGCGCCTGGGTGCGGCAGAAGTGAGCAGTCAGGCGCGCGATCCTCATGCACTTGTCCCCGCTTCCATTCCATTGGTTGACACGTGGCCCAATCAGCAAACGACCACGTGGATTGGCCGCTTACCATTGCCGCATCAAGTATACTTATCCTCCACGTCCTCGTTTCATCCCTCTCACAGTAATTTGCGACAAATGCACCCCGAGGGGCAAACTCGAACCATCAGTCGTCAGATGAAGAACTGCGATCGCCGAAAAACACGCAAACAAGGTCGCCGGCGGCAGCAAAAGTCTACCCTCATGGATGTAACTGCAGAGGATCGAATTACGGAAGTTCGTAGACTGAAAGAAATCGTTCCCAGTCTGCAGGACAGCTCTTGTCTCGATGAAGTGAGCAGATTTGTAGCCCTACTTATCTAAAGCTCAGCAACGCTTTTATTTCTTTCTTGGAGGGGTAAGGTAGACGTCCGAGTAACTGTCTGACAGCCTGGATAATTTAATACAGTCTTGCATGTAAAGTCCATTGCCAGTCACTGTTCTGTGATCGGCCATGGATCAGTCATAAATGGAGCTTTTTAGTCGTGTTGCATTTTGCACCTTGCATAGGTCCATGCCTGCCATAATTTGAAATTAAAATAAAATAACTCCAGTCCGGCTGGCTTGCGTTTCTTGGATACAATAAGCAGTTCAGAGTGCGTCATAGCCTTTGGAATACTTACGAATTGAGGCAAATGTTCGCATTCCAGGTGCATGTAAAAACAAAGAAGATGAAGGCTGTCTGCCCGTGGGAATTAGGCTTTTATTCATCTGAAACTTCAGACTCTTACTAGAGTCAATAATTAGTAGGGTCTCGAGTAAATTTCCGAAAGCCCAGGTGAATAAAAACATGATTCTTGCGAGTGAAAAGCCTTACTCTTATTCTTCACTTATGTGGTGCTTATCTGAATGATACCTATTTTTATAATCTAATAGCAACCTTATGCAGCTATTTTCGTGTAACTTTATCGATTTTAATGCATGGTGATAAGTTGGATATGACAAAACTCTAATCTACAACCATGGCAATGTTTAACAGCGAATCGGAAAAAGTAATAATTTAGGCTCCATCTTTTATTCCCTGATTTTTTAGGTAACAATAATCGAAGAAACTATCAGCTTTATCACACGACTTGAGGATGCTGTTCTTCGCAAATACTTCCCGATGGACCCACGCAGAACTGGTAAGCTATTTCTAAGATATATCCTCAGTTTGCATTCTGTAGGCAGTAGCTTATTAAATTTTGAATCTACGTAGACCCATTTTTCACATATTATTATACCAGTAATTTTATGATAACCAAACAAATGAATTCGTGTGCTATTAATCGGATAGTCCACAGGATGATGATTCTTCACGGGCAACCATTAGGATATTTATGGCTCTATCGTTTCTGATCAGGTGCGAGGATCTACCCGAGCCATGTTCGGCTGGTCTTCTGACACAAAGAATCCCTAGGATTAGTCGCACGTAGACGATTCGAGCTCGTTTTATACTTGGTTTGACGGATGAACTTTACAGTTAAGTTTATAACCACAGACTGAAGTGGCGAGCTCTAGATCTCTGTCAGTAATTAATGGAGTCGCATGCTTGGAATCAATTCAATAAGTATTGCGTAAGTACTGTGACTAAGGGCAGTGCAGACCCAAGTGCCTACTTATAGTTTATATGCCGTCGTCAGCCGGTCGTACGTCAGTCACATGCCTGAGAAACGAGGGAGGAACCGATACTATTTAGTTATGAAGCGCTGCCAACCGCTCTGCCAGTGAACCGCTGATTTTTTGCCTTCTCAAACTTGATTAATCGTCACCTTTAGACAAATTAGTGAAGACGAACAGGGCTAGTTGTTGTAGAATAGCGTTCGCCGCTTCCGAGCCCTTTTCTCAGAGGCAGATGAGATGAGATGTGACCTCTTAAGTGATCACCCTTCCTCAGAGGTCCCCTGAACAACCTACCGCTAAGATTTGCTTATCACTGGCCGACACGCCTATTTCACTCCCGCAGCCCGCAGCCAGTTTTTGGCAGTGACTCTTCCGGACCGATGAGCAACATTTGTGCTCATCGGAGTTGTTTCCGATTAGGAAGGTGGACAACATGTGAGCACAACATGCCGGTTGCCAGCCCGTATACTGCTTCCTCATCCGTCCCAGTAGCACTTAGGGAGAACGGAGTGCCATTGTCCGTGCCTTTTGTTGCCGACTTACACCGATCCTTCAACTCACCCTAATCCGCCCGTATGAGGGTGCCTAGTAGAATGTCCGTTGCCCTATCAAAACAGCCTGTCAATCTTATCTGGGTTCCATCTACCCTCACTGCATCCGGCCTTTTGTCGCTGCTTCCTAATCGCTCGTGTGAGTGGTTTCGGTGCACGATCAGAGAGACTTTGTTGCTGCCTGCATTCTGACGGTTAGAATTACCTTCGTCTGACGAAGTCTAAAATATGACAATTCCTAAATTTAGATGTCTCAATACGGTCAGGATCCTGAAACTGGGTGAAACTGAAAATTCAGCAGGTAAATAGGTGACCCCTGGTCAATGCTCAGAGAGCGGACGCCGGATATGGCCATAATCTTGAGTGCACACCCTGGGGTTGACGTGCCACTGGCCGATTAGGGTAAATAAGCCAAAAATGGCCGTTCCATTGATCCAGCCTTTGTCGGTAGCACTGCTCGATACAAAACCCGAGGTAGGGTCTGGCCGACTGATGAGGCCTAATAAGTCAGAAGTGGCTCATTTAGTTTCCCTTGTCTACCTGACGACACACTGTAGAAAGGAAGATCCCTAATAGCAAATCGAACTTGGATAGCCATGTCGGGGTCTTTTGGCCCACCATCCACATTCCGTCGAATAAGAACTTCGACAGTGAACGAATTGGCAGTTTAGCCGCCCTGAACGGCAATGTCCCTTCTGTGTTCCACAGCATAGCAGACGCAACCTCGCCGCATTACTTCCTCCCTCACCCTCTTGGTTCTGGTAGCAAGGTTGAACAAAGATAACATATATAAAGGTGGTTATCCCTTTCTATATGTAATATATACATAACTCATTGATGCATTCAAAGATGGATTGCATTTTGCCCAGTGACGGACCGCATTTTCAATAAAAGGGAGCGCCATGTCAGTATCCCCATATTTTCAAAAATGCCTCAGCGGGCGCTTTCCGAACTGAGGTTCTAAAATATGAGGATAGGGACCTTGGGCTGCGAGTTCTTTGAATTTGGCACCCTTGGATATTTCTGTAAATGGCAAACATTCGCAGTAAAAAGATCGTAAATCCAAATAAACTTGGAGCACATATTTGGGTGATTGTGTAGAAGATAACGCCCAAAACGACGAACAGTTTCGAATTTATAGGAGCATTGTTGAAGTCACGATGAAGGTACTCTTTAACGTCTTGCCTTTTGTAGTATGCTACTTAATTTTCCATTTTACTGTGACTCGGTCGGACTCGAAACTCCTCCTACTACGGGTGACCCCACGCTAAGTTCCAGGGGGTTACCCAATCTTGGGTCCTAACTTTAAGTCTAGCACTAACTTTAAGCTTCCTGTAATTTAGCACAAGGGCAACTGTAATACGGTCTGGGGGTCCCTACACCCGTACAACCTAGAACAACTAAAAACTTGCCTATAAATTGGCAGTAAATAAGTAAAAAAAATCAAAAAATAACCCTGCAAGCACAGTATTGAACAAGTTTCTAGAATTCATCCGATTTCATAGAAGGACGCAGGGCTCCGTTATCGAAGAGATTAAGGACGGACAAGTATTATCTTTTCTCCCTTACGAGTATATTCGTGTAAACGGGAATGTACTCAGCTCTGACCGGGTCCGTTGGAATTAGGTAGCAAACGTTTTCGACGAAAATCGATCCGAATTACTGATTTATCCTCCTCCCCCCTCCCCGATAAGACATGAAAGTAGAAAAGTCCTTTGCGTAATGCGGACGGCCTTGAGCTAGATTCCAGGATTGGTAACTATTCTCGTATTCTAGTCCTGATCCAAATTTTAATCTTCTAAGAACCATAGCCCAATCATAGTCTACTTTCCCTGGAATTTAGTGCAAAGCTACCTGCATTACGGGTGGTTCCTGTTTTCATGTCCTATTGGGGTAACGGTGGGCATCAAAGCACTATCTACAGAAAAGTCTTAGAAAGTAAACATAAACACCATACATTTTCACATTTTCGCCTCTGTCCCAATAAGTGTAAACTACGACAAATTTTACTTTTTTTAACTTTTTGTTTTCTGAAACTTGTAGATCAAAGTCAGCCTCAGCTTCATCCGCTGCTGAAACATCTGCTCCCCAAAAGGCCTCCTCTTGACCAGCCCTCCTCGCTTCCCCACGAGGAGGAGGAGGAGGTTTCTGAGGCGCCGGGCGAACAGCCTTCGCCCCAGCTGAACCCCGTCTGTCCGCATTTGAGCCGTGGTTGGTGCCGAACAAGTGCCACCTGGAGTACGGAAAGTACACCCTGTCACACCTCGGACGAAGACAACGACTTCACTAACATCTGAGGGTCCTTAGTTTTGCTCAAGCCACGCTCCGAAGTCTTTCCCGAGATTCTCCTCAACTGTTTTGTACAAAGTTTTTACTAAAGAAAATACTGCCTTAGCCGGTCTTTTTCAGTTCATTTTGGGATAGGCAAAAATATAACCTGGGTGGCTGTGCTCCGAACTTCATGAAAAAAGCAGAGGATTTACAATCAGGAAAACAGCTTTCATGCTTGATCAGGGGGTCAAGACTGGATGCTAAATTGTAATTGATTAGTCCCTTGCCAAGTCACAATGTGCTGCCAACGCTGTTGTGGATGGCACTGCACACGGTTCCTTCTCCAGGTGCCCCCTCTGCTGCATGTATGATCCGT